TCTATCTCTCGCTCTCTCTCTCTCTCTCTCTCTCTCTCTCTCTCTCTCTCTCTCTCTGTCTTGCAAGTATTTGCGGCATTTTTGTGCCATTATCTTGGCTAGAAAGGTGCGAAAACTTTGTGGAGCAAGGCATTCCATTGACCTCGGCCCACAGCATAGGCAGCCAGGCAGCCAAGCAGCCAGTGAAAACCGAAAACAGAAAACTGAAAGCCGAAAACTGATAACTGACACAGAGCTCCTTTTGGTCTGGTCGGCTGTACGCAACCAACAAAGGCAAAAGCCAGCTGAATTTTAAATGAGTTTTTGCTTAAAGCTTGTATTTAAGAAATTTGAATAATTATCAAAGGACGACCCAAGCGACGTTCTGCATAGTCGAAAGTCCCAAAAAAAAAATTAAATGAACGGATGAGCAAATTAAATTAACAAACAATTTAATGGTTGAATCCTTGTTAAGTGCTGTCCTTAAAGGTCCTAATTCCAATTCTAATCTAAACGGGTCTGCAAATGTTATTAGAGAATGTTACGGCTCTTGAGTTACTAAACATTTCCTTCCTCTGTCTTTTAGTCTTGATATAAGTTCCACACTCACGCTAATTTCTTCTCGAACCATTTCATTTTCTCTCTCTAATTCCTTCACTGCTTCACACTCCCTTTTACTCTCTCCACAATATGGGACTCTCTCTTTCTCCCTTACTTGGTTATCTGTCTCTCTGTCTCATTTGAATTGCTTTTGATGTTTTCCGTCAGATCCAAATTTTACTATCTGACTTTATAAAAAACAAAAATGTAAAAAAAAAAACAATGAAAATTGTACAGATTACAACAATTAACCAAACATAAGAAACAAAAAACAAAAATCAAAGCTGTAGATCAATCCCTGATCTATGAATCTGGGGAAAATGAGTGAAATTAATGAGAGCACGCTGGACCGGCACTTCGTGTCGCAGCTGCGTATAATGTGCGACGTCTACTCCAATCACATCAGCAAGTCGGACTTCGTGATGAGCCAGCGCTGGCTGCAGGTCTTCCACAAGTCCAGCCGGGCCGAGAAATATGCCAGGAACTGTCTGATGCTGCTCATGTACGGGCAGCTGCGCGAGATGGGCAAACTGGGAATGCCCTTTATCAAGATGGAGAATATGGATCGGTCGCTCGAGGATGTGCTCGGCGATTATCAAGGCAGTCTGGAAATGGAAGCGGATACGGAAGTGGAGCAGAAGCAGGAACTGGAGGAGCAGCGGGAGCATGTGCAGGAGCAGGAACAGCAGCAGAAGAAGCAAGAAATGAAGCAGCAAGATGAACAGTGGAAGCAGCATGAGCTGCTAGGAAAACCCAAACTGGAGATGATTCCAGAGGAAATGGACTTACCGGAACTTAATTTGCCTAATGAAGATGTGGCATCTGCAGTGACCACAAACGCATCCTGCTATAACGAGAGTTTGATGCTGCACGAACGTCTTGGAGGTGGCAGCCAGTGCATCGACTATGCCGACACCAACTTCGAGCTGCTCACGCAGCAAAACCAACAGCTCATCCAGGAGATCAACCAAATGCACGCGCGCACCGTGGAGAACGAGCAGCTCTACCGACAGGCCGATACCCATTGGCAGCAGCGTATACTGGAGGGCCAGGGTCACCTGCCGCTGCCGCTGCTCAAGCCACGGATGCAGTGGCTGCTGCAGCGCATCGACCGTGGTGCACAGCTGGCCATACGCCAGCTCCAGGGCTGGGCGACGAGCAGCGGACCTTTGAACTTTCTGTACCTCAGCCTACAGCACATACTGGACGACGACCCGGAGGCACGGAAGCTGCTCGCCGAACTGGATCGCAAGCTGGAGGCGGTGCTGGACAATATGCTGGAGCAGGCCGGCGAGCGTCGAGAGAACAATGTGCGCATGCTCTACGACAAGCTGTTCCAGCAGCAGCAGGAGGCGCTGATCACCAAGCAGCAGCTGCTCCACCACGAGCAGCGGGCGCTGGTGCTGGCGCGACAGCAGCTGCAGGTGCACGTACAGGATCTGAAGCAACGCGAGGAAATCTTCTGGGACCAGGCGGCTGCCTCGCCCTACTACTCAAATCAGTCCAGAGCGATCAGCTACAAGGCGGAAACCATGCGCAGCACCAAAACCCAAACGAATAGCGACACATTCGATGCCGACAGCTACAGCGGCAGCGACTTCTGTGGCTGCGACGACTGCCAGCCCGGGCCCGAGCTCGGGCAGCTGAGCAACCCAGCCGACCTGATGGACACATGCGACAAGCGCAGCTGCCAGTACTGCCAGTCGCAGCGCCCAAAGGACGACGAGTCCAGCAGCAAATGCTAAATTGTCCCCAAATAACTTGACTTTCCCTATCTATGTGTATATAGTATATAGATAAATATATTTTCTATTCCTGCCAACAACTTGGTAAGTTTCTATATTTATGACTAAAATCAATACTTGCGTCTGTGTGTGTGTGTGTGTGTGTGGCTGTCAATTGCCAGGAAGTGGACTCGCCAAAGTTTTAATGTAGTTTTAATTTGCTCGTAAGCACTGGAAACTTGGCCAGGATAACTAAAAAAAAAAAAAGTAAAAGGCAAGTTCAAAACTTGCCTCGCAACAACAACAACAACAACAGCAGCAACAGCTTTGCTCGTAATTAGTTTTTAAGCGCTGTGTGTGTGTGCGTGTGGCATTAGATATGACAGCATGATGCAGTTAAGCACTTCTTAACGACGACAATGCTGCTGGCCTGGCTGCCTGGTGTGTGGCTGCCGATAATGGCGCAAGTATAATAAGTGCAATTGATTTTCTTGCCAAGTTTCCACAAGTTGCGGCAGTTGGTGCCAGGCCAAATGCAACCGGATTGTAGTTTACTGCTGCACAGAGTCTTCATTAGAGACCAATACACTGGTGTCTGCATTATGAGAAAAAAATGCTGTGATGTCCAGCTATATATGATATACAACTGCAGCCTTGTTCCGGATCAATAAACTGCAGCGGTGTCTCATAGTTGCTTCAATTTCATATTCATTATAGAAGACTTATTCAAAAAAAACCGCTTTCAGGTATTTACGAGCTTAGCTGGCTCAAAAAGCAACCGCTATTTTGTATTAAATATTGCCTCTGGCTGCGCTTAAAAGTGTACTACAAAGAGCTCTCTTAGCTTCCATAAAAAAATTGATTTTAGTTGTTGCGCGGTAAAGCATGCTATGAAAATTGCAAAATACACAAAAAAAAACTGCGCTTGCAAAAGCAAGCTACATTTTTCAAATAAAATGCTCTTTCGTTAAATAAAAAAAAATAAAGGCGAACTGACATTCATACATAACTACTGTGAGCTTACAAAGGTGTTTAAAAAAAATGCATGGCGGCAACATTTTAATATCCTTTGCAGAGCACATAAAATAATAAGAAAAAAAAAGAGCTCAAGTAACAGGACTAACGTTCTGTATAGTATGTCAGTATATATATATATAAAAAAAACAAACAGCGCGTCCAAGTTCACACGTTCAACATCCGCTGACGATAGCAAAAATACAGTTTTCTAACATTTGTTGGCAAAGTGTGGCGAACATTTTATGAAATTTGATAATAAGTAAAAAAAGGTTGACTGAACTTCAAGCGACCCACTCATACATATTTGCAACGAAAACAAAACAAAAAAAATATATGTATAAAAATAACAGGAATCAAGTAAACTGTATAAAAGTTGTGCCTGCAAAAAAGTTGCAAAGCAAATGCAGCTGCCATACCCCACGACTCCGCTGAATGACAATAGCTCAAAATATGTAAGACCAACTGTCGAAGTGAAGCGCGGCGAAAAGCACGAATAAAGAATGCGGCGAAAACAGGAAAGCAAAAAAGTGTGTGAAAAGTTTTCGTTCTTCGCTTTAATGATGCGCACAGACAGCGAAAACTTCGCTCAGACAGCAGAGGCTTACCGGCTCTGGGTTGGATGGGAGCAGGGGGATCAGGGGGAGCAGAGGGAGCAGGACTCTCTGTGCCATAAACATAAAATTTGAGTTGTGGCTTTCGTTGGTGGGTGGCGGGCATTAGCGACATAAAATTAATGACAAATTTGCGAGCTTATGCGAATGCATTGTTCCCAAAACAATTTCTGACTATTAAGCGCAGAGTGCAGCGAAAGCGGGGCATGGCGGAGAGGGGAGCAAAATATGTATGACAAAAGTGAAAAGTCGCCAAGGCAGCTTCACGCTGAAGGCAAAATTTATGTGCGCAGCAAACCCCAAGCAATTACGCCAAAGACTTAGTTGCCTTTTTTTGTGTGTGACAAAAAGCAAAGGAGCAGCCGCAATGGCAATGATAGAAGGGGAGGCGGGCAGGACAACATCTGTGACCAGCAAGGACCACAACTTTCATTTTACTGTTAAAATGCTCAACAAAAGTTGCATTTTCGCTCTGCTCCTGCCAAAAAGCGAAGAAGCAAAGTGCACTACATAGCCATTATAATRGAGCAGCAGCAGCCAGAGTTTCAGCTAGAGAAGAGCACAATTTTGCTAATGCAATACGATACGGCACGAGTCTCATCCAGTGTTAGTGCCTAGCATTTCTTTTCTTCTGACGGTCCCCGTGTAAAGTGCAGCACGCTCTCATCTCTATAGTGTTGCTGTGGCCACTGCAGTCGTAGCTAGAGATGTGCAAGACTCTTCTAATACGATACAATACATATGTATGCATGTATGTGAAGATCAACAACGTCGTGTTTGTTCGCATAAGACCAGCAGCAAATCACGGAGCTTGCTCATCTCTATTCAGAGCGTAACTGCTGGAGTTGAAAATGGGCTGCTTGTTGCATTTATCACATTTTGCACATCTCCGGACAGAGGCAACAACGCTTAATGGCTTTCTGCTGCCAATGCAGAAGCTGTGGCTGACAACTTTCCTTGGCCAGTTTTCTTAGTGCCCACACCCCATGAGACTGGAGACGGAGCAGTTGCTTATTGTGGCTTAAAAGTGGTTGTTAGAATGCGGCCACCAGAAAATTACACTACTTTCTATGGAACATATTCACTATATTTACTTTATATATATACACACAATTACATGGCCTCTTTCTGGCTAAAGTGTCGCTTGGCAAAGGTCTCGCCCACGATAAGGGGAAACACCAAAGTGGCCTCGGCATACACCTTGACGGGCGTTGCATCTTTGCGTATCTTGCCCCAGGATACCGCTTCGTCCGGTCGTGCGCCACTATCACTGCCATCAAACTCAGAAGCTGTGTTTATGAAAACAGAATAATCGGCGCCGTTACGCATAAGATTAGCGTTGCAAATGTGATGCTTTATGATGCCGCCACCCACAATAATCATGCCACTATTAACAGCTTTGACAGCCATCGTGTTGAGCCTGCGCAGATCCGACAATATGTCCACAACCAGGCCCGGGTGACGGAACGAATGAAAGTACATCATGTCGCCAAGGCTTCCATCGGTTAGCGCTGGACAAAACACGGGTATCTTGTTTTTAGCAGCCCAATAGTAGATAGAGCTCGGATTTGCAATTCGCTCGCCCAGCCTGTGGATGATGCGTGAGGGTGACCAGACCGTGCCTTTACTCTTCTGTTCCTCTAGCATTTCATCGAGCAGCGGCATTAGCCAATCCTCAAACTTGCAGTAGTTGTCATTGGGCACCAGCAGATTGCCAATGCGATTGATGCCGCGCTCTCGCAACTGGCTTCCACTTAACTCGAATGAGCCCATAAATGTGGGTGCCAGGCATTTGATAAAATCCTCCTCCACGCCTCCAGCTGTCGTCACAATACAGTCGACCATCCGATGCTCAGCAAGGAAACGCAATGTCTCCCGTAAGCCCGATGATACCAAGTTTGAAGTGTAGCCCAGAAATATAGTGCACTTCGTATTGCGTTTGATGAACTCGTCCGTCTCGTGGACATCCTGCTGCTCAGCGTCTAGTGGCTGAGCCCTGCAATCCAACTGTCCTTCTTTAGTATAATGTGATGCCCAATACATATAATTACTTACCATTTTATTAATTTCCTTTATGGCCAGGCCCAAATTTGTGGCCTGGAAGCCGGTGCTCACATAGGATTCGAGCAGCTTGCTATAGTTGACGCCCAAATTGAAATCATATCCATGCACTTGTGGCGTGTCCTCCGAAAGGCGTTCGCTACGCTTGAGCACAGCATCCTTCGCTATTTCAGGCTCTGTGGACATCTTAAATGTTTTCGTTTTTGCGCGTCTCACCTAACATGTGCAAAATAATGATATCGATACAACTATCGATAGGCAGATGTAGGTTATTTCATATTTTCTTCATTTTAATTAGTCGTATTTGGCTTATCTGTACATGTATCGAGAAACACTGTGATGCAATTATTTTTGTTTTTAATATAAAATTTTATAAAAACTTAAGTGAGCTGACAACCCTTTTTGCATGTATCGACTATTAAATCAACGATAGTAACATCGATATCTTTTGCTGCGCTACCTTGAATGACAGGCAGAGAAACTGAGAGCTAAAAAGTAAGAAGAAGCAAGCTCTTGAAACTACCAACAACCAAAATTTTAAGGTACGATACAACATTTTTAAACGTTGCTAAAGAATTCCAAATATGATCACAATTTAATACGCACAAAAGCAGAAGCAACAAGCCAGCAATCAACTGCGAAGCGAAACGCTCAACACACAGTGAAGTGGAAGCTGTAGACGAACGACGCGAACAAGCAGCCAAGCAGGCAAACAAATACATATAGAAAAAAAATGATTAAACTTTTCTCGCTGAAACAACAAAAAAAGGATGGAGATCAGACGGCACGCGGTGGCCAGCAGAAAAAGGCATCAGCTGCCCAGCTGCGCATACAAAAAGGTAAAAGTCGTGAACTATTTGGCGCCCATGACTTTAGTTTCGTTTTCTTTATATCTATGTACATATATATGCATTTGCATATATATTATGTATATTTATACATTCTACATTGTTAATACAAATGAAATATTCGTATTTTTAGATATTAACGAACTGAACCTGCCAAAAACTTGTGTCACGGAGTTTCCAGACAGCGATGACTTGCTGAACTTCAAATTGATTATATCCCCCGACGAGGGCTTCTATAAAGACGGGCGATTTGTGTTCAATTTTCGCGTGGGGTCCAATTATCCGCACGAGCCGCCAAAAGTGAAATGCGCCACACAGGTGTATCATCCGAACATCGATCTAGAGGGCAATGTGTGTTTGAACATTTTACGCGAGGACTGGAATCCAGTGCTGACCATCAATTCCATTGTCTATGGCTTGCAATTTCTGTTCTTGGTAACGAATTTACTCTCAAGCAAACATCTTTGGATTGAGATTTGACTACAAAGTTGTCTTCTCTTTTTAGGAACCCAATCCTGAGGATCCCCTAAATAAGGAAGCCGCCGATGTGCTGCAAAGCAATCGACGCCAATTTGAGTATAATGTTAAGAAGGCAATGCGCGGCGGTTGCGTTGGCGAGACTTTCTTTGAATGCTGTCTCAAGTGATATATAGGAAATGAAAACTCTATTATTTAAGTACCGGCATCTGCCTGCCTGCTCTGTTGTTGCTKCTGCTGCTGCCGCTGCCGATGCCGCTGCCCCGCTCCACTGACTCAATGATGAATGCACTTTTAATAGTTCAACACAAGCAACACACGTAGGAGAGGAGGGCAACCAACAAGCCACAGCAACGACAACAACAACAACAGTAGTAACGATAACAACACCAACAACAGGCAGCGTTCGGCCACAATGACAACAACAGCAACAACAACAACAACAAATTATCGTAATAAAACAAAAATTTACCACTGCGAACCGAAAAAAAAAAAAACAAATGCGAGTCGAGTCAACAATTTGTTTTTAGTCTAAAGCCAACATTATTATAATTATAAAATTTGTCATCATGTTTGTAATTGCATTCGAGGGAGATAAAGAGCAAAGATGAAAGAAGATATAAAAAATGAAAGAAAGAAAAACAAAAAAAATAAGTTTGTCACGATTTCATAATCAATAGAATTTCATGATTGATGCGTCATGAATGGTCATCAAATAAATATTTTTAAACTGACCTACAATAAAGTAGAAAGAGGGAAACAGTAGATAGCTCTTTAGTCTATCTGAAAGCCCAAGGAAATGTTAAAATGTTGCCCGTTATTCTAATTGTATTTGCATGGCATAGAAAGGATGTTGCAGTTTTATGTGTGTATTTAATGTAGGTTCGCTTTAGTTTCATTCAGGCCACTCTATTGACACCTGATCACAGGTGTATGCTGTTTCGCGCCAGCTGCATATTTCGCCACAGGCAGAGATCGGCCACGGCTGCTTGGCGTCCGGCATGCAGGCGCAGATCGTAGAGGCGGCTGATGAGACCGACGCGTATATCATCGGTGGCCAACACCTTGAGGAGCCGTTGCATCAGATTCGGCGGCAGCAGTCGCAACACAGGCGTCACACGCTCGCCGCCGCACTCCACCAGCAGCGAGATGAACTGATAGACGAAGACGGCCTTGGGCGACAGCTCATCGCCGCTAACGAATTGCACAAAGACACGGAATATGTGTTTGATGCTCGCCTGCAGCGGCTCCTTGAGATTGGCTGGGGTGACGCGAAGCTCAGCGCTGGGCGCGCTTAGCAGTGCGACGACATTCGCTGCGTCGCCATCGGCGAAGTCATTGGAGTTGTCGCTGCCGTCGCCGATGACCTTGCGGACCTTCGCCGCATTCGCCACGCCYGTCATCTCGTCGTCGTCGTGGGAGCGCGAGCGCTTCTGTAAAGCGGCGCTGTTTGAGCTGCGCGTCTCCAGACAGGAAATGATGCAGTAGACGCTCAGACGCGCCAGCACCAAAGACTGCGGTTCGTTGATGTCCTCGCTGCAGGGGCAAGAAGGCATAAAAACAGTTAGTACGGTAACTATAGACTACTGGATGTAGGCGAGACCCACCCTTGCCGTCTCAGGACCAATGGAGCCACGACGTACTGCAGCAACGCCTCGGTGGTGCGCTCTATATCCAGATGCATTACAGCAAACACAATGTCCATGCACTTGGCCATGTCGCGCATGTACTTGCAGCTCAGCAACTGCTCCACCAGCTGAGTGACCAGCCAGGAGGCACCGCCGGCCAGCAGCAGGGATTCCAGTGTCTGGGCTGCACGCACTGGCAGGTGTCCAGCCTCCGACACAATGCGCCAGCACTCACGAAACTGTTCGATCAACGGCGTGTGAGAAATGAGGCGCGACTTGGTATTGGGCGCTGGGTGCACATCGTGCTGCATTTTACGTATGATCTGATAGGAGAGCGCCAGCCGCTCCTTTGAGTTCTCCTGGCTGGACAGCTCCTCAGTGGTGAGTGGAGCCAGAAACTGTTGTATCATATTCAACGGCTTCAGCAACTCTGTTTCGCGCACCGAGTACATGTAGGCGCACAGATATGAGGTGGCACACACAGAGAAGCTGAAGAGGCGACGCTTCATATTATCCAAAATGCTCTTCACATCCGCTGAGGATAAAGTTTCCTGCTCCCAGGCAATCAGCACATGATGCAGCACGCCTGGCAAGTTGAGGCATATGTCCTGCCATGTTAGGTTGCTTGGTTTCAGCTGTGCCGCTTCCGGTTTGCTCAAGCTCAAGAGCAGCTCATCCACTATGCTGTCTTCGCAGAGGGCCAAGATCTGACGTGGATTCTTCAGCTTATTGCGCTCCATCATGCACGTACGAACCCACTTCTCGAAGAACGAATCGCAGCGCTCGGAGAGGACCACCTGAAAGACCCCTGAGTTAATTGACTGCACATAGAAGCTATCAGCGCTGCTTACGTCCGAGCCATAGGTCTGCACGATGCTGGTGAGCATCAGAAAGGAAACATCGAACAGGGTGGAGCGCGTAATACACTGTTTGCCCAGTTCTCCGGGCACCTGCTTCGAGTTCTCATTGCACTGTATGAGGCGCGAGACAAAAGTCTTCAGACGTCCCTCCACTGTAGCCACCGATAGTATTAGCTCGAAGCTGTGCCCGACTGGCACATGGCAGAGCACATTCACCATGTCCTGCATCTTGTTGGTGCACAACGTCTTGAGCACCCCCGAAAGTGGCACCTCGGCTCGTTTGATGAAGTTGATATTGGAGGGCTTCTGCTGGCCATTGTCGCACTTCTTGAGCAGCAGCGAAGCGGCCTCCCTACAAGAGATGGCCATTAGTATAACAGCTACTTCCACCTCAAATGGTCACTTACCGCTGGCTGGCGAACTTCTTGACGTGCACCTCGTTGACCAGCTGCTGTTTGGTCCAGTCGTTGAGCAGGAACTCAATGATATTGCAGGAGCACTTGGTGTCCATAAAGTCCAGCAACAAATTGTCCTCGATCAGCAGCTCCAGTGCCTCTACCAGCTCGGGAATGTAGTCTGTGGCCGCCAGCTGCTGCTCGCCTGGCACCCGCTGCAGTGCATGCAGCTGTTTGATGATGTGCGGCATCTTGAAGAACATGAAGGCGCCCCACATGGTGTCCGGACTGGTGTCGGCCACGTTGCTGAGCGTGAGAAAGCCCGCGCGTATAATCTCATAGAACAGACGTGTATTCGTATAGCCCTTGAGGCGCTGCAGCATTTGCAGCTCGGCCACATAGTACGAGGTGTCCTTGCAGGGATTCAAGAGCACCTCCACAGCGAGCAATGGCTGCACACAGCACGAAATCTTCTCCAGACAGGGATTTGGACTCAGCATCTGCAGGTCCAGGTGCTTGGCATCAATGTAGGCCAATTGCTTGAGTTGCTGTTCAGCTGTGGCAGCGCTCAGCGTGAAGTTGGAGTTGGTGAGCGACGCCTTAATGCTGGCGTAGAGATCGTGCAGCCTGTCTAGCGACTCCGGCTCCTCGTGACAGCCCACATTCAACATGGCCAGCACGAACTGTTGCTGCGTGAGGTGCTCGATGAGCAGACAGCTCTGATCCAGCATATACGACAGCTCCGCGCTCAGCTCGCCGCGCATTTCATACTGCTGCAGAGTGCGCGCAAAGATCTGCATGACCCACATCACCAGCTGGACTACAGCTCCAGGCAGCAGCGCCTCCTCAGACTTGATGCTGGAAGGAGAGAAGATGTGAGAAGACGTAAATGTGCCAAATTTTTATGTGCAATCGAGAGTAACTAACCGACAGGTGATGCCATCTATAATGCTGACCAGGAACTCCAGCAATGCCGTCACGCAGTAGACGCGATTCAGCTTGTCGTACTTGGCTATGCAGCGCAGCACCGCCGCATGGGAGACAAGATGTGCGCACAGCGAGTGCTTCAGATAGTTCAAGACCAGCTGCAAGAGAGAGGCCAATGAAGGATTAGAGATTCTATGGCACTACCTTCTCCATATGCTTACCGAGTTCGCCGTGGAGCCAATGACGGCCTGCTGCAACAGGCACTCAGCCAGATTGTAGACATCGCCACTAACGCCGCGTGGGAGGACCTGAAAGCAAAATCCGGAATCCAGATCAGTTAGAGGCAAACTTGAAGCTATTCAATGTTTGAAACATTTGAAAAATTATCTAAATTCAAGCAAGGCTAGGCAAGCCGGGGGCCAGTTGAGCTCTGTATCATTACAGTTTCAGACGCGTTGAAATGTAATTTTAATAAAATTTAGGGTACATAAACGCAATACAGACAAAAAGAAACTAAAAGCCTTAAAATACAATAATACAATACAAAAAGTTCCTTATACGTGATTCTAGCAATTTCTATATACCGCGTTGTTGCATCATGTTTCGTTTGAATTTGCAACGCTTTCAGATTTATTTCATGCACGGCCTAAGGTCATCCTGCAGACGGCGGCCAAATCAATTGCTGAGCATCGGGTGTGCGGCCCATGGGGAGAAGGCTGCAGTGGGTGCCTTTACGCTGTGGAGGCGTCTAATCAGCCAATATCAGTTTCGGGTCAAGAAGGAAGCCTACTATCCAGACCGTAAGTTAGAGATGCAGCGAACAGCAGTGTCGGCCAGGCAGATGCTGGCCATAAATCCGCAGCATCAGCAGCGTGGCCTGCCCAAGGACTACTACTACAGGGTGCTTGGCGTGAACAGACATGCCACCGTACAGCAAATTCGTAGCGCTTTCTATGCACTGGCCAAACGTTATCATCCGGACTCCATGCACTCCGAAGAGAAGCTGAAGCACTTTCAGGAACTCTCCAATGCTTACAATATACTAACGGACGAGACAAAACGTTTGGAATACGATCAGCTGGGTGGCATCAAGGATGAGAAGGCATTCCTGGCGCAGGCTGGCAATCCCATGAACATCGACCTGAACAGCAAGAGATTTGAGGCAGTTTGCCAAAGTCCGGAGGGTGCGTTAGTCCACTAGCCAAACTATTGCAATGGGTAACTAATTTAACTAATTCTCGATTTGACTTTGACTCCTCCGATACAGATATCAAAAAATTAACTGTGGGCGAGTACGATTTACCATTGAGCTTTCTGGAGGCCACCGTCGGCTGCAAGAAGCGCATTGACTTGCGCTATTTGAGAAAATGTGAAAGCTGCAAGGGTAAATCGCAGCTAATGGCCAATCGTGATCTGGGCAAGGAGCCGTGCCGACGCTGCAACGGCACTGGCAAGGTGACCACGAAAACGTTGACCTTCACTTCAGTGAATACGTGTAGTCAGTGTAAGGGCAAGCGTTACATCAATCGCAATGACTGCGACGCCTGCGACAACCGGGGCTTTGTAACGGGCAATGTCGAGGTTCTAATCACAGTGCCGTCCGGCTCCAAAACTGGAGATGTTATAACCGTCGACAATCCCAATACAAAGCAACGGGTCAAGTACACCCTACAGGTGCCTCAAAGTGATTACTTTCGTCGCGTCGGCAACGATATACACACAGACAAATTTCTAAACATTTCCGATGCCATTCTGGGTGGGAATTTCCTAGTGCGCGGCCTCTATGACAATGTCGAGTTACGTGTCGAGCCCGGAACTCAGTCACACACGCAGGTGGTGCTGCACAACAAGGGCGTGCGGACACGTGATGGTGTGGGCAATCATATTATTACACTGAAGGTGCGTATTCCCTGCAATCTATCGATGAAGCAACGACAGCTTATCCTGGCGCTGGCTCAGTCGGAGGAGCCGGTGTTTGAATTCCACAAGGGAAGCAAGAAGGCAAAGAATTGAATGGCGTGTTTTTTTTTTTCTATGTATATATACAAACCGTGTTCAAAAATTCTCAATGTAATACGCTTTTATCACTCTCATGTAAAGTTGAAATTTATAATACGACAATTTTAAATGTTCCTTTCACCTTTTTTATGTTGATGCCCCACTGTGAATCGGTCCAGCGTTCACGCCATGCCACGTTAATTAGCTGAAGGATTTTGTTGTCCTTCATGGCACTCGACGCGTTAGAACAAAATATTCACGTTATTGCTAAGCACAAAGTGTTTATTTCATTATATTTAGGAAACAAGTCCAATAAATACTTATATGAGAAAGTATATCAAGAAGAAGCACTGTTTATATCTTTCACCCAAGCTGGTTGCAATTTCACGTTAGGGATGATGAGATATATCGATAGGTTTATATATATCGATGTGCATATTTTTGCTATAATAATTTATCTGATGCAGATTTTTAATAAATGAATACTACCATTTAAAATAACATTCATTTTTCTTTATACATTTTTGTATTATTTCAATTTATAAGCTAAGCACACAACAAACTGCTTTTCAAAGAAATTGAAACGGCAATGGTACAATATTAGTAATTGGTACAAAATAATACAACATTCGATAGCTTTTCGATTATATGGTGCTAAATCAAAATTACCCAGCACTTATGTTTGTGCAGGCCCGCTAAATTCAAAAGAGTTAGACCTGTAGTAAATTAAATATGTAATTTATTGAATACAATAAAGTAGCGCATGATTTTTGTAAACTGCTTTAAATATTATGTTCTAAAATGTTTGACTTTGTACAAAATA